GTCCGACCCTGGGGTGAGTGAGAGGCTGGTGTGCACTGGGCATGGGGCTTTGCACCGAGAGCAAGAGTGAGGGCAAGGAGGGGGAAGGGAGGCAATCGTGCAGCAGCAGCAGCCAGGAGTCCGACCCTGGGGTGAGTGAGAGGCTTGCGTGCTCTGGGTGGGTCGAGTGGGGTAGGGAGTGAGGGGAGTTTGGAATGCAGGGGAATGAGAATGGGAATGGGAGTTGAATGGGAGTGGGTTTTGGAATGGGAGTGGGAGTGGGAGTGGGAGTGGGAGTGGGAGTGGGAGTGGGAGTGGGAGTGGGAGTGGGAGTGGGAGTGGGAGTGGGAGTGGGAGTGGGAGTGGGAGTGGGAGTGGGAGTGGGAGTGGGAGTGGGAGTGGGAGTGGGAGTGGGAGTGGGAGTGGGAGTGGGAGTGGGAGTGGGAGTGGGAGTGGGAGTGGGAGTGGGAGTGGGAGTGGGAGTGGGAGTGGGAGTGGGAGTGGGAGTGGGAGTGGGAGTGGGAGTGGGAGTGGGAGTGGGAGTGGGAATGGAACGTGGGGTCTTGTACAGTGTGCTTATGATGCATGCACGGTGGAGCATGCTTCTGTTGCCTTGTGCTCACAAGACCACCCACTCCTCCTTCTCTCACTCTCACCCATCCTCTCCCCCTCTGCCATCTCCTTGCCTTGCATCCTTTCCTCTCCTTCCCTTCCGTCCTTCCCTCTCCGAACTTTCCCCCTCAACTCGACTTCCCTCACCCATTAACCCCCCTCACCCTCCCTCTCTTCCTGCCTTCCTTCCGTCCATCCATGCCCTCTCACCCCCTCCTATTCACCCTCCTCTCTCCCCAACCCTGCAGTGGAACGGCTGGGACGTGCAGAAGGAAGCGGTGTGCCCATGCCCTCGCTGGGCCTCATCTATCCCACCATGGCCACTGCCCTTGCTTCTTTTGAACATCTCCCCTGCTCTCTAATCCTGCCTTCTTGCTTCCACTCCACCCTCCCCATCCCTGCAGTGGAACGGCTGGGACGTGCAGAGGGAGGCAGCATCACCCTCGCTGGGTCTGGTCTACCCCACCATGGCCACCGCGCTTGCTGCCCGCGAGGGCCCTCAGGGCAGCCTCGGCGTGCTCTGCTTCTCCGATGTGAGTGCTGCTGTGCTGCTGTGCTGCCTGCTGCTTCTGCTGTGCTGCCTCAGCCTGTAAGGCCTGCTGCTGCTGCCTGTGCTGCCTGCTGCTGCTTCTGCCTGTGCTGCCTGTGCTGCTGAGCTGGACACTCTCACACTCAACTGCCACACGTGTCTTGCCACATCCATGCCATTTTGAGGCGCCTCACAACACTTTCCCCTGCGCGTTTTTTCCCCGACCACCCTCTCTGTGTGTCGCTTTGTGTCCCCGTGCGTACCTCTCTGTGCGAGCAGAGGGCATCGGAGCGGTTGCTGCAGGCAGTGACGCTGCATGACTGCGTGCCTCCGCTTGCAGCAGCGCACCGAGCCGGTGTGCCCATGCACTGCAAGGTGTGTGCATATTAGGGGAGGGGGGAGGAGAGAGGGGAATGAGGTGCAACGGCGAGGAGTACAGGGGGAAGGAGTGACGCGTGCAAGGGGGGAGGGGGAAGCGGTGTGTGATTGCCTAGTGTTCCAATCTAGTATCCCCCATGCCATCACCCTACCGTCCCAGCAACTGCCCTTATCTGACTGCTTCCATGCCCTTCGTGCAAACGGCACACCAATCTGTGCATGCCAAGCCTTCCTGTCGCTCTCTCATCTATTTGTGAGGCGCCTCAAGAGCCAATCATCTTCTTCTCATGTCTTGCCGTCCTCCAGTTCTTTGGAAAAATGTCGTTGACAACACCCCTTATGCACGAAGATCAGTGCACCATTCCTTGTCTAATCCCCCATTCCATTGCTCACCGTGACCATTCCACTCCTCACCTTGCCCTCTACATGCTTGAGTCGACTAAAAAATCCACTACCCCCATTTCCCTGCCCTACCCCCCACGCTCCCTCCCCTCTCCTCCATGCGTCCCTCCCTTGTTCTCCCTTTGCACTGTAAGTCCTCCCCTCTCCTCCACATCCCAGGTCCCCATCCGTTTGTTCAACCCCGGCCCACCTCCCTCCACCACCAACACCACCGCATCCCCCGCGCCCACCATTGGGTGGCTGCACAGCGGCTCGCACAACTTCACACCTCCCCTCCCTTTCCCCTCCCTTTCCCCTCCCTTTCCCCTCCCTTTCCCCTCCCTTTCCTCTCCCTTTCCCCTCCCTTTCCCCTCCCCTTCCCCTCCCTTTCCCCTCCATTTTCCCTCCCTTTCCCCTCCCTTTCCCCTCCCTTTCGCCTCCCTTTTCCTCCCTTCCCCTCCATTCCAATACCTTCCCCTCCCTTCCCACCCCTCCACATGCCAGGTCGCCATTCGCAGATTCAACCCTGGCCCACCTCCCTCCTCCTCCTCATCCTCCACCCCCGCCCCCACCACAGGGTGGGTGTACAGCGGTTTGCACAACTTCACACCTCCGCTTCCTTCCTCCCTAACCCCTTCCCTCCACATGGCAGGTCGCCATTCGCAGATTCAACCCCGGCCCCACCACTACCACCCCATCCCCCACCCCCACCCCCACCACCGGGTGGGTATACAGCGGCTCGCACAACTTCAGCCCAGCAGCGTGGGGGCGGCCGGTGCGCAAGCGGCACCTGGCCAGCGACCCGGCAGCAGCGGAAGATCTGGGCGTGGCGGCAGTGCTGGGGGACTGCCTGCACGTGCTCAACTTCGAACTGGGTGTCGTGCTTGTGGATTTGCCCTCCCGCTCCGGGCAGTGCGGGCAGCAGAAGGGGCAGGGGTTGGAGCAGGGGGTGGGGCAGCAGTGGCAGGGGCGGGGGTTGGGGGGTTTAGGGAAGGGAAGCTAGAGGGGAAGGGGTTGCAAGGGGGGAGGGGAAGGTGGGGAGGGAAGTGGGGGAGGCAACAGGGGCAAGGGGGCAGGTGGAAGAATGGCAGTGCGAGTGGCATTGGTGGCACTAGTGGTGGTGCTGGTGGTGGCGCTGGTGGTTGCCAAGGGACAGCAGCGGCAGCAGGGGTACAGTTGAGGCGAGAAGAGCAGCTAGCACAGGGCGGCAGTGGCAGCGTGTGCGAGCGAGGCATGGGCATTGACAGGGTGCGCCTGCCGTTCCGCCTCCCTGCTCCCAGGTATGCACTCTCTCAGACGGTGTATTTGCTCCCAGTGCATTTGTGCACTCTCACAAATGCACTCGCGTTTCTCCCAGGTGTTTGTGGTGTTAAAGGTTCTAGGGATTTCTACGGTGCAAGGAGATGCTCAGTTGGAATGCAGACCAGGCCTTGAAAGCCCTGCAACACCTCGCCACCCCAGCTCGGCATGCACACAGCCCACCCGTTCTCGTGTGTTCATCCCCTCTGCCCTCCGTGTGTGTCCCCACCAGGTATTCACGCTCTGACACCCCTGCGTCTGGCCGAGCACTCAAGGAGGCTGCCATCGCTGCAGCGCTTGCAGCCGCTGCTGCCGCTGAGAGCGAGAGCGGTGGCGAGAGTGTCCTTGCACATGCTGCCGCGGTTGCTGCTGCTGCTGGTTGTGCCAGTAGTGGTGGCGGTAGCTGTGCTATTGGCAGCCCGGTTAGTGTAGGTGGCAGTGGTGGTGTTGCTGGTGGTGCTGCTGCAGCAGCAGATGGAGCCGTGGCAAATGCAGCGTCCTGGAAAGCGGCACGTGCTTCGCTGCCTGGCTCTCCTCTTGCCAATTCCCTCTCCTCCGCCTCACTCAAATCCCTTCTGGGAGCCATTTCCCCAAAAGCAGAAGCAGCAGCAGCAGGAGGAGGAGCAGCAGCAGCGCTAGGGGTGGCAGAGCGGATGTTGCAAGTGGTGGAGGAGGTGGATGAGGAGGAAGGTGGGCTGGGGGTGGGAGTGGATGCTGATGCACTGGCCCGGGATGCTCTGAGGAACGAGACGCACGTGCTTCTTCACGACTATGCGTAGGCAGCGTCGAGAGGAGTGGGGTATGGTGCTGATGCTGCCAATTCACCTTCCACCTTCTCACTATAACCTATGCTTGGGGAGATTTGTGCAGCAGCAGGTGCAGCAGGTGCGGCAGGAGCAGCAGGAGCAGCAGGAGCAGCGGCAGTGCTAGGGGTGGCAGAGCGGATGCTGCAAGTGGTGGAGGAGGTGGATGAGGAGGGGGGGCCGATGGGAGTGGATGCTGATGCGCTGGCACGGGATGCTCTCAGGAACGAGACACACGTGCTACTTCACGACTATGCGTAGGCTACGTCCAGAGGAGCGGCTAGTGCTTGCTTTTGGCGCGAGCCGGACCAGATGTGTTGCTTGGTCCATGATGGTTCTCTTCTCAACTTAGAATAGAGTAAATCAACTGATTCGATCCACACCACAAGGGTGCGTGCGTTGGCTGAGGAGGTTGCAGGCCTGAAGATCGCAATTGAGATTTCTGAAAGGTGATTTTGCAGGGTTTTTTTTAGAATTCACTAAAATACCCTGAAGCATTTCTCAGAGGTGATTTTCATGTGGCTGGAGTGGAGCGTACGATGCCACGCTGGATGAGCAGATTTGATCCGCGTTCTCGATTCATCGAATTCAACCTCTGGACTGGAGTGCTATGTATGTAGTATGTACGGTATGACGAAGTGGAGTGAATAAGCTGCCCTTACGAGTGCCACCACCACAAGGCGTTCATGTGCGAACCCACAGGCGGAACAAGACGTGCAAGTGCATTGGATTCTTGGATGTGTGGTACCGTACGGTACAATGTGTTGTGCAATGCAGACCAGATGTGCCCCAGAGCCTGCAGTCACAGCACACCTGTCCAGGCAGCACAGCACACCCATTTCTAGCAAGGAACGACTGTCAGCAGCACCAGGCAGATTCTCTACCTCTGTACAACACACCAGGCACACCGGCGCCGTCCCTCCCTGCCTCGACTGCACCAGAAACCACCCGTGCCGTGCGAGCGACACACAAGTCCTCTTCCTCCCAGTCACACACACCAGCATCACAACCGCAGCCCATCAAATCAAACCACACAGCACTAGCCAACCATCAACGTCCATGCGCACACCACCACCACTGCCACCTGCCGTGCCCCCTGCACCATGCACGGCTGTGCGAGCGGTGACTTTTTGAGTCGCTGAAAAGTCATCACCACAATCACAACACCCTCCATCAACCCACACAGCACTAGTCATCTCATCTGTCAATGTCCATGCGCGCACCACCACCGCCGCCGCCTGCTGTGTCGCCTGCACCATGCGCGGCTGCGTGAGCGGTGTGCTGCACTGCCTTGCGTAGCTGCGCGGAGGAGCAGTGGTCTAGTAGAGTGAGGCCTTCCTTGTCCCTTGCATCAATGCTCGCACCATGCCGCACCAGCAGCAGCACCACCTGAGTCAACGGGGCGAGGGTTGGAGGGAGAGGGGGCGAGAAGGAGTTGTTACAAACAGTGCGTCTTTAGCAGCAGTGGTCTAGTAGGGTGAGGCCGTCCTTGTCCCTCACGTCCATGCTCGCACCATGCCGCACCAGTAGTAGCACCACCTGCGTCACAGGGCGTGGTGGGAGAGGGGAGCGGGATCGAGAGAGAGCAGTGTGAGAGTGAAATGATCGTGACATCACATCCAGCCACCACGGTACCATGGCTATTGCACACTCCATTGATCCACACAGCACTAATCATTGATCAACGCCCATGCGCCCGCTGCCAGTTCTGTCATGCAGAGCCTCTCGGCCAACTCGTGCCGGTGGGAGGGAGGGAGAGTGGAGGGAGAGACGGCGAGTTGGGTTGCTATGCATAGCATCACAAGAATGGAACGGCATGGCGCACAGATCTGCACTGATGTGAATACCCTCCTGCTCGGCACTGCATACATGCAATGAAAATGGTTCCCCTCACACTTCACACTTCACCCTTCACCCCACACCCCTCTCAAAAGGGAGAGCCCTACACCCTTCACCCCATATCTCTCACCCCTCACCTCTCCCCCCACAACCCCAACCCCACAGTCTGATTCACATCTGCTTCGCAATCCCCCCGCCCTTCCTTCTCCCCTCCCCTTTCCTCCCCTCCCCTCCCTGCACAACCCACGCCCTTACCTGGTCGTGTGCGCACTCAGCAGCGGTCATGGCGGGCATGCGGCCAGCATTATCGGCAGCCTCTTCCCCCTTTTTCCGTCCCGTACCCCTCCCCACCCTCCACCCCCCTCCCCCCCAACCCCACCCACCTGGTCATGCTCGCACTCAGCGGCGGTCATGGCGGGCGTGCGCCCAGCATTATCAGCGGCGTCAATGGCAGCGCCCTCCTCCACCAGCACCTCGCACACCGCACTCTGATCCGCACCTGCTGCCCTGTGCAGAGGCGTGCACCCCAGCTGCACTCGTGCCGTGCCATGCCAGGGGGAAAGGGCAGATGGAAAGGGGGAGGGGGGTTGGAAGAAGGTGGGGACGGGGCCAGCAATATCAGCGGCGTCAATGGCAGCGCCCTCCTCCAGCACCTCGCTCGCACACCGCGCTTTGATCCGCACCCGCCGCCGTGTGCAGAGGCGTGCACCTCAATTGACCCCACGCCATGGGGGGAGAGCAGAGCACACAGAAAGAAGGGGAGGGGGGAGGTGGGAGGGGGATGTCGTAGGAGGGAGAGGGAGAGAGGAGGATGGGGATGGAAGGGGGGGGTGTTGTGTTGGTGCAGTGAGAAAGACGAGCGGCAGATGGTGAGGGAAGAATGGGGGGAAAGCACATCCGTTGGGACACACAGCACCGGTTCTGCTTTGATGGTGACGAGGCCACGGCTTGGAAGCAGTAAGACCATGCTTAAGAAATGATACCATATAGAAAACTTGTTCGGCCATCCGCTGCACTGCATTGCACCTCCCCACTAATCTGAACTCAAACCACGGCTTGTCTTGCCTCTCCCTGAATCCGAATCTCTGCTCCCACCATAGCCGCATGGCCGCACCCACCACCGTACCTTGTCCCGTTGATTGATCCCTTTCTTCTGCACTGCGGGCGATCTCAGCAGCGAATGGACAATCGCCACGTGGCCCTTGCTGGCAGCATAGTGCAGCGCAGCCCTGCCCCCCGTGTTGGCTGCCGTTGCATCCGCTCCTGCTTGCAGCAACACCTCCACCACCGCCGCTCGGCCGCTGCTGCTCGCTGACTGCCATTATGCCATGCACACCATGCACACAGACAAGCAGAGAGGTGAGTCAAGTGCGAGGATGGGAAAGGAGGGAGAGGAGGGAGAGGAGGGAGCCATGAGTGGCGCGTACACATGGAAGCAAATGAGTTTAAATCAGACCAAACCCAAACCCGATTTAGCATAGATTTTTACGAAAATCTCCCCGCTCGAAAAAGAAATCATAAACACGCGTACAAATGCACGAAGAAAAATCAAAACATACCAAACCCAATCCCGATGCAGCATAACAAAAAGCAAATCCTCCCCAAACCCAGCCCCCCTTGTCATCCCCCCCCCCCCCCCCCCCCCCCCTCTTTCTTCCCGTTCCCATCCCCCTTCACACATTAAGGCCCCAACCACTCTCCTCTCCCCCTCCCCCTCCCCCCCACCCCCCCCGTCCCCTCTGCCGCACCATGAGCGGCGTCCACCCCTCCTCATCGCCCCCGTTCACGTGCTCCGCGCTCTCCCCCGCGCCCTCCAGTCCCCGCAGCAGCGCGCGCACGGCCTGGCGCACACGGATGGGTCGTCCCCGCAGCCAGTTCCGCGAGACAGAGGCGGGGAGGGAGATGGTGAGGGGGATGGGGGGAGGGCGTGGGGGGGGGGGGGAGCCCGGGGGGTGGGGGGGGGGGGGGGGGGGGGGGGGGTGGGGGGGGGGGGAAAGAAAGACGGCAAGGGCAGCGTGAGCGGCGCAATCATCAGGAAGCAGAAGACATGCACACGCGATCGGGTCTCCCTCGCTGCACAGCGGAATCGTTTTTAGACGTCCCATCCCTTGGTGATCGCGTGATTGAAGCTATACGCTGTCGAAGATCGCCTGGCATGGCCACAAGTCCGCGTCGCTCACCCCCGCGTGCCCGGCAGCCGCCGCGACGTGGATGGCGGAGCGCCCGTCGTCGTTGCGGAGCGCTCTCGCGGCGGCGAGCTGCGCGGCGGTGAGCGACGCGAGGTGCGCCTCGTCGCCCGCCTCCACCGCGCGCCACAGCGCCGCCTCCTCGTCCTCCTCCAGCTTTGCGCGATCCGCGCCCGCCATGTGCGCGCGCGCGCGGGGGAACGGAGAGAGCACGGCACTAGCAGCGAGGAGGTTCGCCCAGATCGGAGCGCGTTACAGGGAGGTCCGTGGAAGAAGAATTTGGTTCGCCTCGCCTCGCTCCACACGGGTTGGCTGGAGCTTGGGATGTTGAAAGGGTACCTTTTAGCTTGACCCGCTATGAAACGATTATGCCTTCAAAATCTTGTTTCTGCGAAGAAACACAATATAGAGTTATCCACTATGTTGTTTTTCTATGAAAATGTGTCAAGGTACCAGTATTATGGAAAAAGAAAGCAGTGGTAAAATCCAGTTTTGCGTGGAAAGAAATGATAATCATTACCATAAGTCGAGTGTAGAACCTCAAGCCTGGGACCTTTTAAAAAACATGAGCTGAAGCACAGAAGGGATCACAGAGAGATCAGTGCCTCAGCTCAGCTCAGCTCAGAAGCATCTAATGGCCAACCCAGCCCAAGACTACTGTCAGTAGTAAGCATTGCGAATGTGAGGTTAGGTACTAGGTACCCAGGTGGTTCACTCAGAGAAAACTAGTGTTGCTTATGAGGCCAGCAGCTGCCTCTCTAGCTCCAGCTTGTATTGTAAGCCCGCATGCCCTCAGTGAACCCCACGGCAGCATCCAGCAGAGTGGCTATCTGCGTGCGACTGGCTGCTGCTCAGCTGAAGCCTGCTGTCACGAGGCCCCCAGCTGTCTCTCCAGCTCCCGCTTGTACTCGCGCATGCCCTCGATGAACCCCACGGCTGCCTCTAGCAGAGTGGCTATCTGTGTGGGACTGGCGGCGCAACTGAAGCGGGCTGCAGTCACCCTGCCTCTTCAAACCTGGTCCTCCGACCACACGCGTTGTTATGAGGCCAGCAGCTGTCTCTCCAGCTCCAATTTGTACTCGCGCATGCCCTCGATGAACCCCACAGCAGCATCCAGCAGCGTGGCGATCTGCGTGCGATTGCTGAACCCCGCCCTGCCCTGCTGCCTCAGAAGCACCTCTGCTGGTATCGCTGCCTTGAGGGCCTCTAGTCGCTCCCTGTGAGACACACACAGGGAGGGGGATGGGACAGGGCGTAGCATAGCACACAAAGGACAAGAGAGGGAGGGAAGGAGACACAGGATGAACAAGGCTCGGCAGTGTGCAGTGCAGAAACACCTGGTCCGTGCAGTGCAGTGCTGTCCGGACAGCATGAAAGCAATGCGTAGGACTTGTCACAACCAGAGTCAACAAGAGTCAACAAGAGTCAACAAGAGTCAACAAGAGTCACCGAGAGTCAACAAGAGGGAGGGAGGAACCAACTCAGCAGGAGCGAAGAAGAGAGAACACGGCCCAGCCTTCAACACACATGCACCTCACCAAAACCTCGCCCCCAAACCCAACTCACGTTATTCTGGATCGCCGTTGCTTCTCCGTAGCACTCTTCCCGCTGATTTGCCTTGCCCCTGCAGCCCCTGCGCGTCCCACCCTTCCCTTCGGGGACAGGGACAACGGGGACGGGGTTGCAGAGGGCGACTTGAACCCCGTGTTCTCTCCTGGGGGTGACTCTTGCGCTGCTGCCGACCCACATACTGCTGCTGCCTGCATTTGCAGCGAGTCTGGAGTGAAGGGGTGCTGTGCGTGTGGCTGCGGTACAGAGGTGTTTGGAGTGAAGGGTCTGTGTGCGTGTACCTGGATGGAACCTGGTTGCACTGCTGGGTACAGTGCCGTGAGAATGCGGGTTCGGCGGATGTAGCAGCGAAGATAGCCCTCGAGACGGTTCAAAACGCAGCTCTGGCGACACGGACCGGTGCAGTGCGGTGCTGCCAGGTGCTCGTGCTTGGAACCGCCTCAACAGGCTGCTAAAAGCCACCTGCCTCTGCTGGTGTGCGAGGGGCGAGACTGGCATGGCAGGTGCAGCTGGAGAACCAGCAACGGCTGCACCACCAACACCATCAGCAGCACCACCACCAGCAGCAGCAGCAGCACCACCACCACCAGCAGCAGCAGTAGCACCGCGACCACCACCATCCAGAGCAGCAACACCAGAAGCAGCTGCAGCGCAGAGAGAAGCGTCCACGGCGCCATCAAGTCCCATCACATGCTCCATCTTAAAGGGATGAGGCAGAGGTATCACATGAGCTGCAGCACCACCAGTGGCAGCAACAGAAGGAAACGGCAGAGGCTGCATGAGAGCTGCGGGGTTAGGAGCGGCCATAGCAGGAAGGCCTGCTGCTGCTGCATTCCACGGTGCATTGACCTTGGCTATACAACCCCGCCTTCTTTCGTCGGAAACGAGGCTGCAGCTGTTAGAGAAGACAGCAGCAGCAGCCGCAACAGCACGTGGTTCAAAGGCAGCAGCAGGAGCAGCAAGAGAAGCAGGAGAAGCATTCGCAGCAACAGCAGCGGTTGCAGCAGTATCAACAGCAGCAGGGTTGACGCATAACCGCTTCCTCGCCAGAAGAGCGTCCATTTGAGATAGCTCATTGATCTGAGAAGTTAAAAGCCTTCGCTTCGTGCCAAAAGTTGGTACCAAGGTAGGAGAGTAGCGAGCTTCGTGTGCCGTTGAGCACGGGTTGTTGTTTTTGGCAGTGACACAGCTATTGAAGACGAAGGCGGGAAGGGACGGTGACGGTAAGGAGCAACAAGCAGGCGGAGGAGGATAGGTGCTCAGCTGCAACGATGGCTGAGTTGGTACCTGCTGATTGGCCGGCAGAGACTGAGTCAGCAGCGGCGCAGGAAGCAGCGGGCGGGGACGACGAGACTCATTCCGGATGTGAGTCAGCACTGCTGGCAGGGGGTTGAGAGGGGACACTGGATCCCCAAGAGCCCCACTCCCATCATCCTGCAGAGGCCCTGCTGCTGAGGGTGCTACTGCTGTAACCGGAATAATCCCCCCACTTTCTGTTCGCACCAACCCTGCACGCTCCGGACTGAAGGCAGGGTCGGGCGCACACAGGCTCGGCTTCTCAGGGGTGAAAGCCGGCGCAGGGCCGGTGCAAGCGGAGTCGGAGACAGCGAGCATGTCGCGGGGCTGCTGGGCGCGGCGCAGCGCTGCTTGGATGAGGCGGAGCTCGTCCCGGCTCATGCTGCTCCAACCACGATCATCATCATCATGATGATGATTGTGATCATCACCCGCCGCCCGCACTGGCATTGTCACAGTATCGGCCGCCGGAAGTTGCTCCCCTGCTGTTTGGAGCGCGTGGAAGCACGGCGGGTCCGTTGTTATAGTCGTCGTCACGGCGCAACATGGCGGTAGCCCCGTTAGAAGAGCGTCCAGACAATCCATGCAGAGAGCCACACCAACAAGTTTAACGCCGAGTCGCTGTCACAGAGACCGTCTTAGTAGTAGTTGTTTAACGCGAGTCGCTGTCACAGAGACCGTCTTAGTAGTAGTAGTAGTTTAACGCCGAGTCTCTGTCACAGAATCGAGAGAGCACGAAAGCACTTCCTGGACCGTCCAGTCGGGCTTATTCAGAAGCCTCAAACGAGCAAAGCGGCAGCACCGTAAGGAATTGTCAGTGGTCTCGCTGGCGGATAAGCGGGAATTTCGTTCCTAAATATCTCGCATCATGGGCCTATTCGCTTTTTTGCCAAAAAGTGTGACTTAGTACTACCACGTGGAGTGGTACGAGAATGAATCTGACGACAGTGGAAACGATGCTGCCGCGCTTGCACGCTCTTGTAGTAGTACTAGTTCAGCGGCATCATCATATCTCGCTGACTTGCCGCGACGCGGAGTGCTTTTAAGAGGGGAGGAGCTCTCGCGACGCGGCGTGGGACCGACTGGACTTTGAACCAACTTGCAAACGAGCAAGCTGCGCAGCAAGAGTGTGTGATCCCATAAATCGCCGACATCGTTGACGACTGAAGGGAAACCGGGACTGCTAGCCGTCAAGTTTGACGACAGCCGCTGTCGATTCTCTGAATCTGGTCACGCGGCGAGCAGGCAGCAGAATCAGGCATCATTCACGCAGCATGCCTAAGTCCTGATGGAGTCAAAATCAGTACGATAGATATTATATGATACGATACGATGATATCATGCGAGCCCCTGCTGACGTGGTCCTTCCAGCCCAGCATGTTGACCACGTGATAAAAGCTGAGTTTTGAGAGGTCTCCTAACTCAACGCGTCTCAAAACTCAACCTCTATCCACGACTGTTCGCCGGACGTCTTGTTTGTTACACGCACCGACCCACGCCAGATGATACCGGATTCACTGTGGTATGCATGCACCATCCCGGATGGGCCATCACGGGATGCTGTGTTCTGGATACGGCAGAACGTACCACCGGTTCGAGCACGAAATGGAGAGCCGATACCGGGCCTGTTCCGTCCGAGACAGAGACGGAGACGGAAGAGAAAAAATACGCCACGAGGTGTACGAAGGTAGTTCCGTTACAGTACGTGTTCGAAATGACGGGTGAAAGATGGACCGTACCGTTCAGATCAAAAACAGAGAGACGGAGGAGAGAAAAAGGAGGTGGTACTGCACTTACGGACATTTAGGGGGATTAGATCAGATTCTGAAAGATCTGACGGACGACATTCTCGTCTCGACTCGTCACCCCTCGGACGTTTTCCGACATTCACGTCACGAAGGACGCGCTTTACGCGTACGCGTATTAGTACTGTTCCCTCACTACCCTCGCACTCACCAGTAAGCACGCCCCTACTTGCGTTTACGCGCACTCTTCTAGGGTAAGAACTCTTGCATGCGCGTACAGTAACGAGTGACGATAGCGCATCCGAGAAAGATACGGAGGCTGGTGGCCCGTGACAGCTCAGCTTCCTTGAGAGAGCGTACACAACGCATGAGGAAGAATATTTCGCGAGAACTGTCACCTGTATCATGCTGACTGACTGAGCGGTCCTTGCCACACGGAACGGAGGTTCTTCTGACTCACGACGACTCAAACAACTACTAGTTGACTGGCACTGTATTGTATGACTATCGACAAAAAATGTTCTGCATTTCTGTGTTCAAAGCTGCCCGCCTTACGGAAACCGCCTTACGATCTAGGACAATGGCCATGACGGAAACTAGCTAACGTCACTTGCCCTGATGGAAAACTCCTGGAAAATGACGTCGCATCAGATCCTCCCCATGGCCTGTGCGTGTGCTTTTAGGACCAACTGGTGGGAGGTGAGTGAATCATTAGCCAACAAGAGAGCCAGCAAGAGAGCCAATACTGTACACACGAAACTAATCAAGAAGCACTCACGCTTTCACGTTCAGCGAGTACGAAACCATGATTGAGGAAAGCACAGGGGACGACGGGGGGGGCAAGCCGAGGTGTGCGAGTGCGATACTGTACAGGGAATTGCTTGGGCAACGAGGGGGCGGGAGGGGGAGTGGGGGGGTGGGAGGAAGTGACATCTCATCACGACAGCACGATCCACAGAGGTTCATTCACACAATATAGTGGTTGGGTATTCTGCAATAACGGTGCGTGTGATTTTTGGAAAATTGTCAAAGTTAAAACTTGTAAGGACTTTTCTCAACATTCCCGCCAACATCGCTGTAAGGAATTACAATTCCTTACTGTACTCGCATTTTAGCGAGTACAATCCGAACACCACGCGTCAGCCCGGTTCGGCCTACAAATCCGCCCCGAACCACTTCCGAGTCGCCACCGCTCCAATCGCAACACTTTCCGAGCCATCCTAGCCCGAACCCTTCGCCTAGCTAGGATTCTCCTTATAAATTCGCGTCACTTTCATTGTATCGTCATTCAGTAGTCATTCATTCTCGATATTCGTTTTACTGCGCACTCTGCAAGTTCATTCATAACAATCGCGTACAGCAGCAGCCGTTGTTCGCCCGTTACTGCTAACGGGTGTTGGAAACAAGTAATTGACGCTTCTGTTGTGTCGAAACAACGAACAGCAAACGAGGCGAACTGCCGATATAACCGAAGGATCTAGTGAATAGGATAAGTCTACTGAATTCGAGAGGGGACCATTAAGTCTCTCCACCCTAAACCGTCCCAAATACAAGACAACCCAAGCATTTTTTCCCGTGTACGAGATAAGACATATATGTCTTATATCCGGGCAATGACGGTACTAGTACTTCACAGCATCCATCTAGCATCATTCCATCCATCCTGCCAACTTATGGTCTCTCTAGTCTAGGACTAGAAAAGCCAATCGGTTCTACTGCTGAAAGCTTTAACCTCTGCAATATGACCAGGTGCAGTTAAGGTTGGGCGGCAGGAGGACCATCGTCACTCCATGCGCAGCGAAATTATCCGTCAGCCCTGCATTCGGCACGCTCAGCGGCGACACAAACCTCGTCGCCGGGACTGACTGGAAATACACTTCATTTGGCTTGAGAGTCTTGTTTAGCGGCAAGTTTAAATTGAGAGTTGGAAAGAGTGTGAGCGGAGCCGCATTCAGGAGCTGCTTCGCGGTGTAACGCCCCTTGAGAATGTGGTAACGTAGTAACCGGCGCCTCTGCCTGCGGGTGAGGGTGTCCCATTGGGTTTCGAAGCGCCAATAGCCGACGTTGGTGGGAATGAGGATGGTTGCATTCCGATCGATGTATAGCTGTTCAGATTTGACTGGCAGGGAGAAGGTTGGGGAGAGGGGGAGAGGTGATAAAAAGGATAGGAATTGAAGGCATAAGAGCAGCTAGACAATGAGTGAGGCAGTGGCAGTGGGATGGGGCGAGTTGATTGACTTGTTTTCATCAATTAACTGTTCGAGGTGAAAGATAAAAACTGGGAGGGAGGGGGAAAGAGGGGGAGGGAGGGGAGAGAGGAAAAACGACGGGAGAGGTAAAGGGGGAGGGAGGTGAGAATGGATCGTGCAAGGGAGGGAGTATGGGTGAAGAACATCCGGAAGGATCAGAACGAGATACACGCACAAGTGGATATTGGGTCAGAGTGAGAGCGAATTGGTGAGACATGGGTACAGGTAAGGTTCAAAACGATTGGGAGCTCACAGTGGTTAGAGTAAAACTGGGCAAATGAGGAGAGGACCGTCTGGTTGGACACCAGCTGGATGGTCGACCGCATCTGCGCCTCCCAGTCAGGATCAATGGGGGGAAAATTCTTCCCTGATCTAGCCGCGGGCGCAGCAGTCGGCACGACCGTTTGCACCGCCTGGTCTGAGACTGCTGGCGCGGGTTGCGCGTTCGCGAAACCGCTGCTCAGCAGACACGTGAGCAGCAGCGCGGCGACACCGCTGCTCGCGAGAACCGCCCACGGCGGGGTAGCCCCATTTCACGCGCGGATGGCCATTTTTCTTCCCGAGGGACAGGAGGTGAACTCGAGCATTGAGTGTCTCCAAAGGATGTGTAGAGAGATGCAACTACGAGTGGAGTCAGAGCTTAGGAGTCACCAGTCTCTACTGGAAGAAATACCTTTCGGACTTCAGATGGTGTGGATGACACAGCTATTACTACTTTGAAGCTTTACCCCCCGGCGACAGCTCCGTGCAGCCCGAAACGCGAGTGCCCCAACGCGAGCGCCCGGAACACAAGGCATCCTATCGTCTGCCGAATCGGCGGTTCAAGGGGAGACGCGAGAATTGTAGGAGGTGTTGGCGAGAACGGTGGAAAGCAGTGGTGGAAAATTGCGCAGAGAAGCCCCCGGCGCAACCGGTGATGGCTTCAGTACAGTCGACGGTTGTTGATTGACTGGAGCAGGACACCAACTGACTGATTTTGTTGCTTTGACAAATACACTCTATACCCTCTAATACATTATTCGTACAGGCTGTACGGACGCCGCGATTGCGCCACCGAGATCCCGCGGCCTGCGTGCTGCAGCGGAGAAGTTGCTGCTGCTCGCGCATCGGGAGTTGGAGTCATCGGCGCAGCATGACAGCGCTGCGCACATAGTACGGAAAGCGGATACTCGCAAATTACTCGTGCCCTGCGACATGCATCCGCAAGTTAGGGTAGTTGCCTAAGAAGAGACAAGTGACGAGGTTGAACGAGAGAGACAGAGAGCAGTGGCGCGATCGAGGTGAAGGGGCGGATTGGTCGGGGCGAAATGGGGCGAATGGGGGGAGGTTTGACGAGGCGGGCGCGGATTGAATGCAGGACTGTCGGGTATTCGCCAAAGCCAGCAGGCCAAATCGAGCCCAAAGATTGTCGGTTCGTCTCCCACTCTGTCTAATAAAAATAATAATGGCATGGTACATTCCACAATTGTAGCATAAGTATACGCGGTAACAATAACCGTCACACTCTGCCAGGAGGCGCAAAGAAGACAACTAGGCATTGGCATCACAGGGGCCTGAAAGCTGATTTACCTGGGCTACGTGGGCGACACAACCCTCTTGCTAAAAATCGGGCTGCCTTCGGTGTTGCGATCACAGCGGATCGACCATAGGATCACCTCGGGAAGGTTCACTTGAGTAGCGGTGTGTCAAATGTTAATGTTATGATAGGCTGCAGTGAGGCACTCCCTAAAGGGTACAACATTTGTAGGACTCCTATTTGTATGCTTGCAAACCCTAATTCCAATCATTCCGTTGCATGTAGACTTTGAGATGGTATCACGAGTAGGTATCGATCCTCCGTCACGCCTAGCGCCCTCCGCGCCCTCCGTAGCGCCTAGCGCCCTCCGTAGCGCCTAGCGCCCTCCGCGCCCTCCGTCACGCCTAGCGCCCTCCGCGCTCTCCGCGCTCCTAGCGCCCTCTCGCGCCTTAGCGCGGCCCTCAGCCCGCCCCACGTCGCGCCCCTTAGTAACCCCCCCTCCGTGCCCTCCCCTTCCCCTCCCCGTCGCGTTACCTCCCGTCCCCCTGCCCGTCGCGTCGCCTCCCTTCCCCCTGCCCGTCGCGTCAACCGTCGCCCAGGCCCGCGCGTAGCCCGTCGCCCAGGCCCGCGCCTAGCCCGTCGCCCAGGCCCGCGCGTAGCCCGTCGCCCAGGCCCGCGCGTAGCCCGTCGCCCAGGCCCGCGCCTAGCCCGTCGCCCAGGCCCGCGCGTAGCCCGTCGCCCAGGCCCGCGCCTAGCCCGTACGCCCTGGCCCCCGCCCATCCCCACCGTCAAAACCGCCCACCCGCCCTTTCCCACCGTCCAAACCGCCCTCCCGCCCATTCCCACCGTCGAAACCGCCCTCCCCGCCCATTCCCACCGTCAAAACCGCCCTCCCGCCCATTCCCACCGTCAAAACCGCCCTCCCCTCCCCTCTCTCACTGTTCATCACCTTAGCCCCACCGCCGCCTTGTGCGCGAGGCCCTCCCCAAATCTGATGACACTGGACTATCCCTCAGCGGCTGGCAGCCGCTCTCCCTCGCCGGTCACCTAGGTTAGAGCCGTTTTAGCCACTCATACCTCGCTCCTCGCACCTGTAGCTGGCGATCCACGATTTCACGCCTAGTCTATGTCCTCCTCCTCGTTCTTAGCTCCGCCTCCGCCGTGCTCCAGCCGCCTCTAGCATGGGCTCCGCTATGGAGGCCCGTCGCCTCCGTTTCGATGCGGAGGGACGCCCAATCGAGTTCGGTACCTGGCAGCGCCAGACCACACGCTTCCTCACCAGCCAGCGACAGGACGGCGCCACTCTGTGGGCTCACGCGTCTGGTGCCCTACAGGCCCCCCCGTCCCCCGCCGCCCTGCCGACCACCCCGGAGCCGACCCCTACGGCCCAGGCGGAGTACGACCGTCGGGTCCTGGCCAGGGACGTGTGGCTCTCGCGTGACGCTGCCGCCGCTCTCACACTGTCGGAGCTTCTCCCCCCGACTGAGGCCGCCCACTTTGACCAGGTGGAGACAGCCAAGGGGGTGTGGGATGCTATTGTTGCCCGCTACTCCACCCCCTCCTCCGCCTCCCTCAGTCGCCTCCTCATGCCGTTTGTGTTTCCCGACCTAGGCTCGTTTGCCACTGTTTCCGACCTAGTGACTCACCTCCGCTCGCTTGACGCCGGTTTTCGTGCTGCCTGTACCGACGCACAGCTCCTTGTTGCTCCCCCCCCCATGTGGCTCACTGTACACTGGTTAGTCACCCGCCTCCCTGACCGCCTTGCCACTGCCCGCGACGCGCTTCTTCAGAAGCACCCCACTGAGCTCACTATAGACCTCCTTCAGACTGCTCTCGGGACCATCGAGAGCAGCCTCCTCACCGTTGCCTCCGCCACTGATGCGGTGGCCCCCCGTCTCTTTGCGGGGTGTGCCGCCCCTCAGCTTCCCACTTTCACTGCTACCCGCGCTTCTGCTGCTGTGTCGGTTTCTGAGGACACCGCTGCCGTTTCTGCCGCAGACTGGCAGAAACGGGGCAAGAGTGGCAAGAAGGGCGGAAAGGGGGGTGGTGGAGGCGGCGGTGGAGGTGGCGGTGGAGGTGGGAGCGGCGGTGGTGGCGGAGGCGGCGGCGGTGGTGCACCAGGGGGAGGGGGCCCTGGAGGAGGTGCTGGACAGACAGGCCCACCCACAGGTGGAGGCCCGACCGGTGGGGGCGTTCCCCCACAGCAGCAGCAGCCACAGCAGCACCACCCGCAGCAGGGACAGCAGCAGCAGCAGGGACAGCAGCAGCAGCAGGCACCGCAGCAGTTCCAGCAGTGGGGGCCCCCGCTGCAGTGGGGTCCGCAGCAGCACTGGGGTCCCCCGCCGCAGTGGGGTCCGGGAGGCCCTGGGAGCACCAGCCGCAGCAGCAGTACTTCCAGCTGGGCCCCTCGCCCCCCTCGCCGTGACGCTGGCCCGTGCACTCACTGGTGCGTCACCGGGCCGGGTAGCCCCTGTCTCTGTGGTCGCGACGACCACTCTGCCGCGCGGTGCTTCCGCCGCCTCGACGACCTCTACCGGGCTCGTTGGGGCCCTTTGGCGAGCACGCCTCGCTGGTCTCGTCTGTTAGCCCGTAAGATTGATGTATTTGCTTTGTCCATGGACGATGCGCGTCAATATGCTTTGTATGTTGATGCTGACTCTAGTGCTGATGGATCTGTGTGCTCGCGTGTTCGTAGGTTAGACTGCTTGCCTCCTGCTAGTGTAGCCTTGTGCCTGTCTAGATTAGGTGCTTGTGTTGCTGCTCTAGGTGCTTGTGTAGCGACTGGGTCGAGTGACCCACCGGCTGAGGCCTCTCTTTCGTTCACGCTGGACTCGGGCGCGTCTCAGTGTTTCTTCCGCGACCGCACGACCCTTACGCCTCTCCTCACACCTGTGTCGGTGGCTCTGGCTGATCCTACCTCTGGACCAGCCGTTGCGCGTAGCTCCACCACCCTCCCGTGCCCTGTGGTCCCCTCTGGTGTCCTGCGTGGCCTCCACATCCCCTCGTTCACTCGGAACTTGGTGGGTGTTGGATACCTTCAGGACAGGGGGATCACGGTTACCTTCTTGGGGGGTGGGCGGACTGCAGTCTGTACTGACGCTACCACAGGTGCTGTTCTGGCCACGTTCACCAGGGAGCCCCGCTCCGGTCTCTACGTTCTCCACACCGAGCGCTCCCCGGTCGCGTCCTCCCCTCCGGTTGTTGCGTCCCCTCCGACCCAGGTCCCCAGTCCAGTGGCTGTGTCTAGCCAGGTAGTCGTGTCCAGTCCGGTCGCTGTGTCCAGTCCAGTCGCTGCGTCTTGCTCCTGTCGCTCTCTCGCCCACCGCACCGTTCTGTGGCACCACCGTCTTGGCCACCCGTCGATCCCTCGCCTTCGTGGCATGCTCAGTCACGGACTAGTCACAGGTCTCCCACGCACCTTCCCGTCGCTCCCTCTCTCGCTTGCCCCTCCTTGCTCTCCGTGCGTCGCCGGTCGCTTACGCGCCACTCCCCACTCCTCCTCCCTTCGTCCGGCCACCGCTCCCTTCGAGACTCTCCACTTGGACGTCTGGGGCCCTGCCCCGACGCAGGGGTCTGGGAGGGAGCGTTACTTTCTGGTGGTCGTCGACGACTTCTCCAGGTACACCACAGTGTTCCCTCTTGCGAAGAAGTCCGAGGTGACTGCTACGCTGATCAGGTGGCTTCTAGCCACTGAGGGCACTCGTGGTCGTCGAGTCAGTTGTCTCCACTCCGACCGTGGGGGCGAGTTTCGCTCCGGCATTCTCGGCGGATTCTGCGGCGAACAGGGCATCACCCAGTCCTGGACTCTGC